GAGCGCTGCATCGGCATCCTCGCGCTCTGATTGGTCGGGGTTTTCTCTTAATATCTCCTTAACGAAGCCTCGGAGAACATTTTCGCTAAGGAAAAAGTTGTTTCAAATCACCTCCACTCTGTATATACAGGGTGTCCCAAAAACGTTGTAACACCTTGAAAGAGGTGGTCCGGGAGGTGATTTGAAACAACTTTTTCCTTAGCGAAAATGTTGTCGGAGGCTTCGTTAAGGAGATATTAAGAGAAAACCCCGACCAATCAGAGCGCGCGTAGACCGTTCGAGCGACCGCGGTAGCGAAGGCTACGCGCTAGCCGGCCGCGCTCATTGGCTACCGCGAGCGCTGCATCGGCATCCTCGCGCTCCGATTGGTCGGGGTTTTCTCTTAATATCTCCGTAACGAAGCCCCATCCGACATTTTTGCAAAGGAAATTGTTGTTCAGAATCGTCTCAGCTACCCCCTCCCCCCCTCCCCCCATTTCCGGCTCCTCCCCGACTTTTGGGACACCCTGTATATATTTTTCGAATTACACATGTACCATTTTCTACGACTTTTCCACCTTTCAAGGGATGCACACGTGTTAATTCTTTCCAACCGTTCCTATATAAACAGACGTGTGTACCACCTACCAAAAATCGCCACGAACATTCCGGACAAACTAATAGAAACAAATAGAAACTCGATGAATCTCCTAGTAGCAGTAGTAGAAGAGAAGTAGAACCTCGAGGAACCGAACTCGGTGGATATTTGACTGTCTCCGTCGCTAGCTCGCCTCGTTATCGGTTTTTTTCTCCGTGCTGAAACGAGAAGCTGGCATCGGAACGTCGTTATAACGCGAGGCGTCCACTTTTCCGTTTCCAGGCCGCGGCCGAAGCGACGTCGACGTCCGTACGTCGCTCTTGGCGCTCTCACCCTTCCCCTTGTCCGCGGTCGGTCCTTGTGTTCTGCAAATAAAGCTCTCCCGGAAACAAACAGGGACAAACTGCACTCGCAGCGGGCAAATTGACACCCCGGCCGGACACGTACCGTGTCGGAACCGTGACTCTCCCGATTCGATCGCGTCCGATCCACTTTTCTCCCTTGTTTAACGACCAAATGGCGCGCGCTACCTTCCCAATCGCTACCACGCTAATCCACGAATAATCCTTCGCGATACGATTCCTCCAGCCGTGGAAAGAATACGACAGATGAGAAGCAACAGTAGGAGCGTAACGCTATCGTTATTATTCGATGTTACGTCGCGTATCCAACATATTTCGCATCCGTGGTCTACCGACGAGCGTCCACGCACCGAAACAGCGGAACCCTTCGTAAGAGCGAAAGCTCGATAGAGACGAAATTCGGTATCGACGACGCGACGCGATGTACAGACTTGTAAAGTGATAGTCACGTGGCGGACAGTGATACAATATCAGAACACGATTCGCCACGTGTCGCGCGACGCCAGTACTGCAACAGCACTCTCGTTTTATTATAATACGGCTCACCCTTGTTCGTCTCCCCACCGATCATAATCGCATTTGGCTTCTGCCTTTCACACAAAAATCGCGTCCGAACACAAATCACGTTACGAGCTTCTATAGCGCGCGACGGATACGACCATCACGCGCTCCTCGTTACCTATCTTTATTATTTTTACTTTTACTCGTCGGAACATCGTCCTAATTGCGCTGCGGAACATTTTGCCATATTTCGTCGTTTCTTTCCTATATCATTTCCTATATAATTTATTTCCCGTTCGAGATCGCTTCTCGGAGGTCGAGTAAAGGGAAGGAAGACGTCTACGAGCTACGATCCGAGCAATTTGTGCGAGGGTCTCGTGAAAAGTGGTCGCCGGCCGTGGAAACACGTTGAGAGTGAAAGCGACGAATGGACGACACCGCACCTTTCCGGAATTGACCCATAAACCCGCGTTCCATGATTTACCATCCCCGGAGACAGCAGCCGAAAGGAATACTCGGCGCGAGTGCTCGGTCGACGTTCAATGCATCTGCGGCCGCAAATTTCCAAAACATCGTGCAACCACGGCAAAATCGCGTCGACGAATATTTATTTCCAACCTACCGCGGTTCCGTGGCTTCGACCCTCCATAAATTTTCCTTAATTTCAACCGAACGTTCCAAACCGATCCCTCTACCTTGCTCCAAGGGTACGCTTGTCGCGCGACGCATCTACGATCGCAATTTTCCGTAATTTTATCCGCTGGCGTACGAGAAGATTGCGTTCCACATTCTGATATCATGAAAGGGCCGTCGACCAAAGATCCCACGACCACCCGAACGAGACCCGCATCTTGACATCCGCTTGTACGCCGTTTAGCAATAATTTACTCGAGGTCGTCACGGAACACCGCCGAAAAACTCCGAGTGCTGTGTGTCCGTTGACGCAGAGATCAGGCTTTAATCCCACGGGTATATTGTTGTCCGATCGTTCGTTATTGTCGTTCGTTATTGTCGTTCGTATTTACGCGCCAAAATTGCGCCGGCGTAAATACGCCCGTATGAACCCAGGTAATAGTCGTAACCCGGACAATGATATCGATACGTGGTTTCTTTCTTTTTCCATTTCCCGCGCCGCGACGTGTACTTCACGCGCACCTTTTAATTTCAGTTGGACACCGCAGTTGAACGGTGCGTAACGTAATCGACTGCCACGCTGAGATTCCGGGTTAGGTCTGGGTAGGTCTGGGTTAGGTTTGGTCCGGGTTAGGTCTGGGTTAGGTCTGGGTAGGTCTGGGTTAGGTTTGATCTGGGTTAGGTCTGGGTTTGGTCTGGGTAGGTCTGGGTTAGGTTTGGGTTAGGTTTGGTCTGGGTTAGGTCTGGGTTAGATTTCGTCTGGGTTAGGTCTGGGTTAGGTCTGGGTAGGTCTGGGTTAGGTTT